CCGGGCGGGAGCGGCGCCCGGTAATTCACACGCGATTTTATCGCTCCGTTTGTTGTGTCAGGCGTCGCCATAGGCCACCTTTAAAGGATAGGCCACTGGTAGCTTTAAAAGATAAGCATTGTGTGTATAGCTTTTTTCCAAGAAATATGGGAGCGCTTCTTTTCAAGGCTGAGTGTGAAGAGGCGATTATAATTCTGAACTTCAACTTACGTATTTACTCGTCATTAGAAATTACTGTGTTTACAAAGCATCAACCGCGCGTAGGTGATTTGTCTCTAGTTTAAAAGCTTGTAGTGTCGTCATCATCTGCTTCATCGTTACCTTTCCTCCCCCGAGAGGCTTGGTAGACCCTTCCATATATTCTCCTTAAAAATTAAAAATAATAATGAAATGGCATACGGGACATTTTGTGGGGCCTTCTTCATAGCCCGTATTTTAAGTGGGAAAATTTAGACTAAATAATGCTCGCTTCAGGTAATTGTATTATATGTCTGTGCTCTTCTAGGTTTTCATTCACATTGTGGAATGTATAGACATTGTTTTTATGATGTGTGGCTGAAATTATTGAAGCAAATTGATACATTCTGGATGTCAAATAAGCGAAAATACAAATATGAGGAAAGGTGTTGCAACACTTGGTGAGTATTGGGAGATATTTTTAGCTGAAAAATACAAACTTCTTTTTCAAAATAGCTTAGATTGCTGTGTCCAGCATAACCCTGCATTTTTCGTTTATGCCTATTTGCCCTGTTGAAAAGGACTAAATCAGTTTTATGTAATGGATAGTTTATATTTTCAGGCTCATTGCCGTCTCACTTTGTCCTGTGCAATTTGTTTGTGTATGGGTTTGAGTCACATTTGTGAAAAGCAGCCAATTGAAGTTCACTCTGGGAATACAGTGACTGAAATAGTTCTAGCTATGAGGTTGGTTTGGGTTGGGATTTTGTTGTTGTAGTTCTGTTAGGAGGTTTTGGTGAATTAGACCTACATGAAACATCCTTAAGATGTCATTAGTCATGACAAAAAGCTCTGTGGATTAAAAATATAATTTCTGTGTTTGTGATGGGTTGGAGTTTTGGTGGTCTTTTTAGTTTTAATATTGGGTGCAAGTGAAAATCCATCTTAACAATACAAAGTTCTTAAAGTACTGAAAATTAATGCAAAACTATTCGTGTACTTAAAAGTTGCAAAAGTAGTTATTTTGAATTGTGCAATCCAGTGGTAATATATTGTCTATGACCTCATGCATACCTTTTGAAGTGGACGGAATATTAAATTGCTATTCTTACTTAAATGTCATAATAGAAGGTATTTAAATTGTACATCTTAGCAATTATATACTTTGTCAAAGGTTGTAAGGTGGGCATTGGTGCTAATATTGTACGTGATACTTTATAGTAGCTTTTGGGAGTGATATGGAATTGTCAGCCAAAAATGCTTACTTACGGTAATTTTGGGGAAATTGTAATAATTTCTTCCAGAAAATACTCTTTTGTTAGATTTCACATAGGGTGTAAACTGTTAAAAATACACTGTAATTAAATAGTCAAGAATTATCTCTCTGTTACACACAGAAATTTTCCTGAGTAATCCATTCCTGTGTCATCTGGGGCAGTCTCAAAAGTATTGGAAACAATTTGCTTGAGGACTTCTTCTCTCATGGGTACAGAATAATATGTCCTTCTAACTATCTAAAGGGACATAAAAAAATCCTAGTGCATTAAACTTACCTTAATAAATGCCTAGAAGGTTAAAATCTTGCAATTTAGGCGTAAAATGTGATTGTGCATTTCTTCGTGGCCACCTTTTTAAAAAAATAACCTTGGCTTGTTTCTGTGCCTCCCAACCATTTTATTTTGTTAGAGATTTATGGACAAGTCCAACTGAGTTTAATGCAATTGATTTCAGTATTATACCTTTTGTGAAAAAGCCTCAGAGCTGGTACTAGTTGTCCCCCCACTTTGTGAGGGTGGAAACAAATGCACAGGGAACATCATTCTTAAGTGATTTCCCATGGCCTAATATTTTTCTAAGCATATCACATTACATAGCTAACACAAGGGAAAGTGCATCACCACTGCCCTTGCTTTTCTATCTATTACAAAGACTGCTTGAAAATTTGACAGCCATGGTACAGATGCAGGTGGTCGCAGAACATTTTTTCCATGTAATGGAAAGCATGAATCTTCAGATTTTTCAGTGATGGTTCTTTAACATCAGAGAATGTGGTGTCTCATCTTTCTTTTAAAGTCTAGGAAGCAAATAGAGGGAATGCTCCACACTCTTCCCCAGCTCCATTGCCCTTCTCTGGACACACTCCAGCCCCTCGGTGCCCTCCCTGAATTGAGGGGCGCAGAACTGGGCACAGGACTTGAGGTATGGCCTCACCAGTACAGGGAGAGCTGACTTCTCTTGGTACTTGTCCTGCAACTCAGCGGTGTTCAGACAGGGTCAGGGACTTCTGGTTTGTTCCAAGGAAGCTCCAGGTCAAAATTAAAAAATTGTCTGTTGTTGTTGCATCAAAATGTAATATTCTAATATAACTGGCAATAAATTATGTTTTACAATAAAGGTTTCTTACCACTGTAAGGAGTGTGGTGTGGCTTTGTTCATTATGCTGCCAATAAGCATCAGTCAGCTTGTGGAAACAGCCTCATTGACAGACAGCCAAGCATGATTCTCCAATGGATGAAAGATAAAAGGGATGGAAACACACCTCACTCTAAAATATGCTGAATTTTTTTTTTGGGCAAAACATTTCTGAGAAACACTCCATATGCTTCACACTTTGGGTATAATGGACATCATTTGTGGATATAATTTTCTCTGTGTTTCTCCAAATTCTTCACTTCTTATTTAGAAAAAAATGCAGTTGAGGTGCCAAGAAGAAATAATCTCGCACACATTGAATTATACATTCTCTTGAATGGAAAATATGTTAAATTAATAAAAATTTCTACTTTTCTTAAGAAATAAATTTTTAATACCGCAAACATGTTCTTGACATGTTAAATTCTTTCCAGTTTTTTCTTAAAAACAAACAATATTAATTTTAAATAAGACCTGTGTGTGACAGGGAGAAGTTCCAGTAGTATTTTTATATTTATGATATCAAATGGTTTGAGTACAGAGTCTGAAGAGCAAGATGGTTTTTAAACAGTAGTTGTTGGTCATATGCACTCAAATCAGCAAATTGTGCATAATCAATTATTTTAAGTCTGACACCTAATTTTTCCTCTTTTTTTCTCTTTTAAAAAGCAATTTATTGTAATTTTATTAAAATCTCACCGAAAGGAAAAACAACTAGTTTAAATGCTAGATGCACACTGCCAGTCCAATGTTAGCTAAGACAATGCTGATATTTCTTTAGAGTTTCCATATCAGCAAACCCATGTTGGAAGTCTCCTCCTATATAAATGTGGTTTCAGCATGATTTTCCTTACAATAATCAAGGAGTGATTCAGAGAAGTAATAAATATGACTATTTCATTTCCCTTCCTATTGTAGCAGAGCGTGGGATGATTCTTTTTGTAAATGAGCATATTTTGTGTCACGTTTAGAATACCTCTCATGTTTGTTCTTACTGCTAAATGCCACCTTAGACTACTTTTGAGAATGCTTTCTCATTTTCCAGTGAAGGATGAAGTTCAGTCTCCAGAGTTTTTTCCTTATATGGAAGAGAACTGGTTTTATACAGAATACCATTGTTTTTGATTTACAATAAGAATGCTAGAGAATGAAATTTTGTAACCACCTAATTTCCTTTTGGTGTATATTTACATTTTCTAACTAATTTTTCTTCACAGAGGTCTTGCAATATAAAGGAGTAACAATTTTTTTAAGCCCTCCCTCCCTTCCTCTTCCTGGGCTGAGATTGAAACTTTTTAAAATATATTGGCTTGATAAAAGGAAACAATTTTGTTTAAGGCTAGTGCATGCAACCCTCAATTATTTAAGTCAAGCTAGATAATGAAAAAACACGTATAATCAGCGGAAGGGAGTAACAGCTCTGAAGTCTTCTGATCCTGAAAAACTCAGTCCTGGTGCCTGTAGCTTAATGTGCTCTATTACATTATGCACATATTAACATGGATTGCTAAGGAGAATCAAGCACTTGTTTGTTCCTCCATTCTGTAAGTGATCAAAACACATTTTCAATTAAGATGATGGCAATGTATATGTGTAGCCAGAAGCCTCATCTTTCTTTTGAAGTCCAGGAAGCAAATAGAGGGAATCCCAGAATATGTTTGTGGTTTCAGTATCTGAAGCTGCTCATACAGTTTTAATCTTTCACTAATTTTTTTGTGGAGTTGTTGATGACTCACATTCTGAATATAACTTATTAAGATAAAGTATCCTGGAGGTGATTAATAAGAGAAGTCAGTTGTTGATCTGGAGAAGGTTTAAAGGGCTGCTAGGAAGGAACTCTTCTATGTGCCCATTAATGTAGGTAAAGAAGACTTATGATAGTTCTGGAAATGTGCTACAGCTGCATACATCTCAGCTAGTTTTTTGCTATTCAGTTTTGTATTAGTGTAGTGATCAGGAAAATTTACCTTTTTATTCTTTAATGCACAAAATACTGTGTGTCAGAAGGAAGGTTTTTTTGCTTTGAAGGGGAGGCATAGATCTTACCATCTCTCAAGTGTAATGAGATACAATTAGATTATTATATGAATTAGAGGTGGTAGCAGAGAGGGTTGGAAAATAGTCTTAAAAATAGTACTGTTTTTTAGCCTTTATATTGTAATTGGAGAATGTCTTGCTGTGGCTTTCCAAAAATGTGACTTCTACTTTTTTAAATCTTTCTCCTTGCTATGTCTTGGCACCAAGAGGCTGATCTCAAAAGATTAGGACATAAATGAGTTTCTTTTGAATTATTTAATACAAGAAAGTACAGAAGAAGCAGGGAACTGTGCCACCTCATTTATTATAGCTCAGAAATTGAAGTGCACACATCTGTGAAGTCTCCATGTAGCTTTAATGACTGAAATATGCATCCTCATGTCCTTTAGGTTTAGTTTATTCAGCAAACATAACATTTAAATGAGCATTTTCCATTGAGAAATGCAAATTCAATTAAAGTAGCTAGCTTTTCATCTTTGTATATAACATACATGTAATGGTATAACAGACTAAAGATACATTCACTCTGTGAATAATCTTTTTTTGTGTGTGTACAGAAAACAAGGTTTTTCAAATCTAGCAGGCATGGCTGTGTATTTTCTGGGTCAGATCTGTTGTCTCACTAAGGCAAAATGAGGAATAGGTCTGTATCATTCCATGCTGGTTAGCTATACTGCTCTGCTTCTACTGGATAGAAATACAATCCTGTTATGCTAAACAAAAGTATTCATATAGAAATCATTCTCCAAGGAAATGTAGTCAGCTGGGCTGCAGTTTCCAAGACAACAACACCCTGAGACTACCTCTGGGGGTTTTTTTTGAGTTACTTGGTGTATCTCTTCAGATCAGTGAATTGATGTATCAGGTAAAAGCTGTTACATTTCTATTAGACATCTTTTTAATAATGAAACAAAAGTAGCTCAGCAGCCTAAGTCTGAAGTAAAGCATACTTTGATTCATTATCTATACCTATGCATTTTACATTTTTTGCTGGAAAACTTTAGATAAACTAGCTGTCATTTTTATTCAGTTGACTACAAAGGTGTGTTATATAATGATGTTCTTATTTTTAGAAGCATTCATATATCTGAAATACAATAATTCAAAAGTGTCAGGCTTCTACAATTTCTAATGTGTTTTCTGTGAAAAGCAAAGATTGAAGAGCATTTTTGGAATAGAATAAGAAGAGACTACACGTTTAATCGGGTATGTGTGGGACTTCCTAACCCTTCACCCAGCTTGTCTTCACAAACCCTGTTCCATTAATACTCACATGGATGCAAATTAAATTCATCTACTTGTGAGAATATGTCCTAAGCCATCTTTTATTTTGAAGTCATATAACTTACTATGTTTGGGTTTGCTTACATTTATCTTTTATTTGCTACATTTATCTGACTTAAAGCAGTCACACAGATTAGTAATATAGTAAATATGAAAGATTTTAGTAGACCTGCAGTAGGTGTGAGAGGCTTCCAAAGTGACAGATTCCATGTTGCACTGAACCTGTGTAACAAATATAAAACACAGCCACTGCTACTTAATGTAGAAAGCTTTCCACACATTAAAAAACAATACTGCAAATATTTGCTTAAAATACTGAACAAGACTTAAAACCACTCCCTAGCAACACTGTCATTCTTTACAGAAGACAAGTGTTTAAACCAAAAAATTATGGAATTATGTTATTCTTACTTAGACTTACTGACCTGACATGCATACTGTCACTTTATTTAATTAATACAATGCTTCTCCGTGGCAAAACTTCTTATGAAACACCTTCCTGTACCTGAGTGCTGCAAAAATGTGCTAGGAATACATAATAAGTGGTGGTCAAGCATACTGGGGGTGCTCTCTGATTTTGTTTCATCATTAATTGAGATGAAGTCACTGTTTTTGTCTTTGTGGGGTTGACAAAGCCCCATTTCAGATTTAAGTATCTGACTCATAGAAAAAGCACTTAACACACATTGCAGAAAGGAGAGATTAGAAGTTTCTCAAGTTGAAAGAGAGGACAAACAGAGATAGCACATGGATTTCTGATGTGTAGTATTTCCTGCATTCCTTTTGTGTTAAATCGCAGCAATACACCACCATTTCTAAATGCAAAAACGAACAAAACAGGTAGCTGTGTTCTGCTGGAACAGCAGTTTTGCTGTAGTTGTAGAAAACTTTATAAAAAGATTTATATTAGAGCTTAACCTCAATTTTCACACCTTTTCAAACTGGGGGCTTAACCGCGTTACAAGGTTGTGTTTCTGGGTTAACTCCTCACTGCTTACTTTGAGCAGGACCTGCTCAAGGCTTCCCTGTGACAAGCAAGGTACTAAACGACATTTTTTTATGTAGTCTGAAGAAAAAATGGATTAAAAATTAGAAGGCTTTTATGATTAAAAAAACCCTTGCACTTCGCATATTTTGTTTTAATGCCCCGAATTCGGCTATAGTTGCTGAAAAAAGTTTGGGTAGGAAGGCGGGAACGACTAACAGGATCAGCACGGGAGCGGGTCCCGGAGCCTGGCCGGGGCCAGCAGGGGGCGCGGTGGCACCTTATCCTGGTGATCCACCGCTTTGGGGATGGATGGATGGATGGATGGATGGATGGATGGATGGATGGATGGATGGATGGATGGATGGATGGATGGATGGCACACCAGCAGCACTGCTCTTCACACATCCCAGGATTCTCTTGGTGGGTTTTCTGCCACAAGGGCAGACTGATGGCCCATGGTCGGCTTGATGTCTCCTGGGACCCCCAAGTGCTCTCTGTGAAGCTGCTATGCAGTCAGGCAGTCTCCAGAATGTTCTGGTGTCAGGGGCTGTTCACATGCAGGATTTCTCATTGAACTTCATGAGATTTCTGTCAGCCTATTGCTCTAGCATTCTTTGTGAAGAATATATGGATTTTTTCAGAAAAGGTGATAAAATTAAAAAAAATCATTCAAGAGATAAATGTTACAGCA